TTTAGGCATGGGCCATAGTTAATCTATTTTTAGATTCTTAACAATTCTTTACTCTGATTTCCAGAGTGCCTGCACCAGTTTGCAATCCACCACCAGTGAATGAGGGTCTCCCCCCCCCCCCCAGCTGGCATGTACTGTCAACTGTTAGCTCAATCTTAGCCATTCTGATGGGGGCAAGATGGAATCTCTAAGTAGTTTTAATTTACGTGTCTCCAAGAATGTTGCATTTTTTGAGGTATTTCTTAAACTTTTTAAATTTTCTTCTTTTGAGAACTGTATGTCTGTTGGATTACTTTCTTGACTTTTTATTTTGAGTTCTTTATATATCTTAGATATTAATTCTCTATCGAATATATAGCTGGAAAAGATTCTCTTCCACTCCATGGTCTTGGTACCTCGAGGTGAACCTACTGCTGCTACTATTCTAAACCAGTGTAATTCCTAATTGCATCCTAAATACTTAGCCTTATACCTCCAGATAAGTTCAGCTCTTCACCTTATCAAGAAAGCTTCTTCTTGCAGCAGATGGAGAGCTTTACAGAAAGGCAAAACTGAGAACTTACTATGGAATGCCAGCCCCAAATGACACATCTATAACACAACCTCCTACTTAAGGCTCAGAAAACAACATGGATGATGAGGTAGAAAGACGTTTTAAAGTTATTTATTTTTATTTTGTTGTGCATTGGTGTTTTGCCTGCATGTATATCTGTGTAAAGGTGTCAGAACCCCTGGAACTGGAGTTACAGTCTTGAGCTGCCATGTAGGTGCTGGGAGTTGAATTCTGGTTCTCATCCAGTACTCTTAACCACTGAGCCATCTCTCCAGCCCAACACGGAATGATTTTAAGAGCCAGAGGACCAAAGTATCTGCTGCAAGATTATGTCTTGATATATATCTTTACTGCAGGGAGGCCATACCTATGAAATCTCAACAATATGGTGGAAGTCTAAATAAGCCCCAAACAATGACAATATCAGTTGAGAAGTCATTGTGGACAGGGATAATCTCACAAGGCCCCACCTCTGGATGGAAAATTACAGGCAACTAATGACTGCTGAGAGAGGAAACCTTAAGTCTTCCCCACTCCCTTGATTGGTTATCCAATACCAAGTGGCCGGCCATAAAAACATATACACACAAGTAACACTAAACAGATTCAGTACTTACATCTATCTATCTATCTATCCATCCATCCATCCATCCATCCATCCATCCATCCATCCAATATAACATTAATAATTAAAAATAAAATCAGAGGGTGCAACAGTGTGGGAGGTGGATCTGGGAGGAGTTGGGGTAGGAGTCAAGTGGTGAATATGATCAAAATGCATTATATGAATTTCTCAAAGAACACAAATTTTATACTAAAGAAAGTCAACTTGGAGGTTAAAGGGCACGGCAGAGCAGGGTTTCCCACCTCATGATATCCATGAAACAGACAGAGTGAGGGAACAGAAAAGAGGCAGGACCTGATATGTGACACAGTCTTGAGAGGTACGCCCCCCCATGGATCACTTCTTCCAATGAGATCCACCACCTTCCACACTGCCATTATATGAAGCTGTTACTATAAAGCCATTAGTTAACTAACCCATGGTTAGAGCTCTCAGGATCCCATCAGTCCCCCAAAACCCATCTTTGAACACTAAATTGATGGCCATGCTTTCAGCACTACACTGGTGACTAAGCCTTCAGAGCACATGAACCTTGGGGAGAGATCCTTGCACAGGCTCCAATCCTGCTCAAGCTGAGACTCAACGCCTGGATGCTCTCTCGGTACTAGATATGACTGTAGAATGAAAAACCATTGGAAACCATGAAAAATAAAAGGCTTTCACTTCTGTCAGTCGTGGAGTGCGAGGATGTATGAGGCCTCGATGGGTGTGGGGTGTAATAAGCTCATAAACTGTAATCTACTTTACTCCTTTGACTACACATCTCTTATAACTCACGACAGTGAGACACTACATTGGCCAGCCCTATTATTACCATCTATCTTTAGGTTTCCAGCTGTCAGGATCACCTGGTAAAGAAGACACATGTTTCCTGATCTGGGTGACCTACTTTCTCTTTTCTTCTTGGGTTCTCCACCTTTTCCTGTAGTTTCCTGTAACTTTTCGAGCTCATGTGCAACACTAGTTTACTCTACTAGGTCTTGTCCCACTCCCTGTAGTAGTTTGGATGCAACTGACCCCCATAATTTCCTAGAGAGTGGAACTATTAGGAGGTGTGGCTTTGTTGGATGGGCATGGGCTTGTTGTAGGAAGTGTAGTCACTATGGGGGTGGGCTTTGAGGTTTCCTATGCTCAGGACACCACCCAGTGTCACAGTCTCCTTCCTGTTGCCTGCCAGACTCTCAGCTCCTCTTCCAGCACCATGTCTGCCTGCATGCTGCCATGCTCGCCACCATGATGAGGATGGACTGAACCTCTGAAATTGTAAGAGAGACCCTCAATTAAATGTTATACAGATAAGAGCTGTTATGGTCATGGTGTTTCTTCGCTGCAATAGAAACCCCAAGACACAGCCTAGGTAATCTATTGGGCCTTGGGTAGTAGATCAGTATTTATCCTGGGTATACAAATGGACTTTGGGCTCCCATCCAACAATGAGAGATGCACTCTCACCCTGAATTCTTGGGAAAGGGTCTAGGCCCTGCCCTGGATGAAATGACAGACTATGGACACCCCCATGGAAGGCCTCACCCTCCCTGAGGAAATGAGGGGATACGGGGGGGGTTTGTGGGAGGACACGGGAGGAGGGGAGGGAAAGGGAGAGGGACCTGGAATTGACATGCGAAGCAACCAGCAACCTTGTTTCTAATTTAAATTTAAAAATTATATATATGTGTATATATATATGTATATATATGAAACCCCAAGACACTTTCCTTCCACTGATAAAGGTACTTCTACTTGGAAAAATAATACTTGTATCATTAGATGCATTGAAAATATTCATGTTGAAGATTTTCTACTGGTGTACAAGATTTAATGTACTTTTCACAGCTTTGATACAGACATAAAGATGCTAAGACACAGCAGTTAGAAAGACACTCAGTTCTACCAGATAGAGGAAAAGATATAAAATCACAAGCAATTACCAGCTCGTGTCTTCAGCTTTCATTGGAGATTAAGGGTCAGTTAGCTAATTTCAGGTTTCTCTACTTATTGCAAGTAGCAGAACTCTGTAGTTTAACTGCTATATTTTCTCAAGATTATTGTTTAATAACATTGCAACCATTCTCCTAAGTAATAAGAAATGCTATTATAAAATAGCATCTCCTGTTTTTTTGTTTTTTGTTTTTTGGTTTTGGTTTTTACGAGACAGGGTTTCTCTGTATTGTTTTGGAGGTTGTCGTCCAGCCTGGCCTCGAACTCACAGAGATCCGCCTGCCTCTGCCTCCCGAGTGCTGGGATTAAAGGCATGTGCCACCACCGCCCGGCATGACCAAATATGTTTTTGAGACACCAAAGATCATAAACTTATTTTGATCCTGCAGTATTCTCTACAAAAACGTTTTAAAAATAAAAGTTGAAACCTAAAAAGAAAACAGAAGCAATTGTAGGTAGGCAGTGAGATGGCCGGGCAGGTAATAGTACCTGTGGTACAAATCTGGCAACCTCTAGGAACCTATGCATTGTGGAAGGAGACAACCAAATCCACAGTTACTCTCTGACCTTCACATGTGGGGCATGGCATGCTAAGCATGCTCACATATCATCCACAGACATATACACAGAACAACAATAAAAGTGTGTGTGTGTGTGTGTGTGTATGCGCGCGCGCACATTGAACACAGGGTAAGGAACATTTTGGAGTGTTGATCTAATAATCATATCCTACTTTACTCCCTAACTTCAGAGTAGTTGAGATGTCAGATTTAAACCAGGCAGTACTGAAATAAATAACCATGCTTCCATTAAGTTATCGTTTATAGGACCATAACAGTCAACAAATATCCTATGTCTTCCTTCAAACCAGGTGGCGATGTGTTTTCCAGGTCCACGTAATTTTTAGTTACCAGATCTTAGGCACCAAAGGCTGCCCCCCAGGTTGATGGACAAACCATTTTTTTCTTCTCTATTTTCAAAGTTACCTAAAAAGGGGGAGAATATTTTCTTCTTTCTAAACCTTAATCCCACCTCACCCCTCCAAACAGGCGGCTAATACCATTTGCCAGCATACATATGGGCATGGGGAGTTAAAGGCCCTAAAGAGAAATTGAAGGGCTCTGGGACTCTCCAAGTCAAAAGAGATTGGGGAGGCTAATGGAGTGGCTTGGGAGAAAGACTGGCATAACAGGATATACTTTCAGAGGAAACAGGAGCTGCGTTAACCTCGGGGCAGGAAAGGCGGAGTCAGCAGCGCAGCACCCGAAGAAACCCGCGCGCCAGGGTTTGCAAGAACGTGGCAAGCTCAGTGACTCTTCCTAACCCGCAGGGGCCAAGCACAGGCCTCCTGGCACCAGTCATTATAAAAAAAAAATATAGGTACCCATCGGCTCTTGGCCACCCCTGCCAAAGACCAGCAATGGAGGAACAGCAAAAGCAAACGTCAGATACCGCTGCAGGTGAACTAGGCAACAAGTCAGCCATAGACACAAGTCCCTGTCCAGAGGGGCCCAGACGGGGCGGGTAGGGCCTCCCGCTGAGAAAGGAAGGCCGGGAACTTGTGGGGATGCGGCTTGGGTGTGGGAGCAGGTGCTCTCGGGGCTTCCCTCCCGCTTCCCGGGGACTGACGCACGCTCCCACGGCGCGCGCATCCTCCACACATCCAGGCCCGAGGGAGGATCCGCAGGAGGGAAGGGGGATGATGCTCCTCCCGCACCCGAATCCGTGGCGGACGAGGTGACCCCGCCTGTTACCCGCCGCCCCCAAAGGGCAGCGGAGGCAGCCTTGGCTTGGCGTCCCCAATCGCCCTGGCTGCCGGGTGTCTCCCGCTGCAGCATGCAGCCCGCCCGGCTCGCCCACGCCCCAGCCCCGGAGGGCAGGTACCTCGGAGCCCCGGCCCCTCGGAGCCTCCCGGCGGAGATCGGAGCTTCCCTCCAGCTCCCTGCGCCGACGTCAGCGTCAGCTCTGGCGAGGGAAGGGGCGGGGAGCGCAGGAAGCGGTCCTTCCTGCAGCGGCTGCCGCCAGCCGGAATAGCAGCGCCGAGCCCGTGCGCGCTGCAGCGCAGCACCGCGGCCCGAGCGGGCACCCCCACCCCCCCGCCGCGCGCGCCAGCACCCGCCGCCTCCCTTCCCACGGGGACAGCGACGGGCGACCGCTCTCGCCATGACCCCCGGGAACCGGGTAGGGAGAGGTCTGTGGTCTCACCTTGTTTGGGATGGGTCAGGGATGAGAGGAGCGAGCTTCCCTCTCTCTACTCCCTGGGGTCTTCCAGAGACCCCCATCTCTAGGGTATCCCGCGTTTGGACCTGCTGCCGGAGGTAACCCCGCCCCTGCTCTCTGGCAGGTGTTCCACGTGTCCATAGCGTTCGCGTCACAATGACCAGTCTACAGGTGGCCAAGGCAGAGAACGCCCCATAGTTCCCCTCCTTGTGTTGTGTAAGGATTGCGGGCTACTTCCTTTAGAGTTTGGTGGCTTGAACTGACAGGAGAATAAACGAGGTCAATGCCAGACCCATCCGAAGTTTGCCTCCGGAACCCAAATTTGTGCTTAAAGGCCGTGTTAAGGAAAAACAGTTGGGTATGTGTACACACGCCTGTTTTTCGTATCCGTATGCCACACCTGTGTCTTTTACTTGTTTTTGACACAGCATTTCAGCCCTTACCCTTGGCCACAAGATCTTTGTCACATTTCTGGAGTACCTTGCATATCACAGGAAAGGAGTGTGAAACTGTGATTCAGGATTCACTTCTTTTATGTCTATAGGTAAGTTTGTTGGATGGTCACTGTGGAAGCAGTTCCCTGGGTGGAAAGGAAAATTACCGAAAAATGATGCAAACGAGTCAGAAATCCACAGCTAGGGGCTGGAGAGATGGCTCAGAGGTTAAGAGCACTGACTGCTCTTCCAGAGGTCTTGAGTTCAATTCCCAGCAACCACATGGTGGCTGACAACCATCTACAATTCAATCTGGTGTATATGTAATAAATAAATAAATCTTAAAAAAAAAAAAGAAATCCACAGCTAACCTAAAGGGATGCTTCCTGGTTTCCAAACCAATGCTGTAGCCTTTAACACCCAAGCTTTCTCTGGCCCAGTGTTGTAGGTAAAAATATTATCCCTGTTTGGAAGATGAAGATACTGCTCTAGTACCCTAAGGAAGACTGGTGGAACTGAGAGCATGGCTCAGTGGTAAAGAGTCAGGGGTTGACTCTGGCGTGGCCTGAACCAAGAGACCTCACCTAACCTCAGGAAAGAGTGGGATCTAAAAGGCATGCTTAGGGCCGGGTATAAAGCTCACTGGTAGAGCACTTACCTAGCATGCACAAAGCCCTGGGTTTGATCCCTAGGAAAGCAGATAAGAATGTAAGATTATCGTTCTTCCAATAGAATGAAAAGGTGTGTTCTAACACGGTAAATGAGTACTGAGGCACCAGTAAAGAGTACAGCATCCCACAGTCCCCTTGACTCTATCTTCATACCAGTAACAATTTGTTATATGAAAACAGAAAAAAAATCCCATTTATCAAAAGCTGCTTTGGGACTGGAGAGATGGCTCAGCGGTTAAGAGCACTGGCTGCTCTTCCAGAGGACCTGAGTTCAATTCCCAGTAACCACATGGAGGCTCACAACCATCAGTAATGAAATCTGATGCCTCCTTCTGACGTGAAGGCATACAGGCAGACAGAGTACTCATACACATAAATAAATCTTAAAAACAAAGTTTTGAAGGCAAGCACCTAACGTTACAAGAGAGCCAGTAGACTGCCTAGAGTGTTGAAAGTGTTCCTGGAAGCATAATTCATTGGAACTTAGCCACTGGGGAGAGCAAGGAAGCAGATTTACAGAACTGTTTTAAGTTTGTTGAACTTTAGTATGTGTGAATCTGAGAGCCTCTTGTGGAGGATTGTAGGAGTAAACCCCACAAAGCTATCTGCCCATGAGGGCGGGGACATGTAAACTGACACAGGTAGATATAAAAGGAAGTGAAAGGAAAAGGAACCTCCCTTTTCTCCTGGAAGCCAGCCACGCTTCTAACTCCTGGTTTGTGCGACTCTCTCTCTCTCTCTGGTAAATAAATATATTGTTTTCCTATAGCATTGACTATCATCCATAGAGGATAAAGTTTGGTCTTTAAGGACAGTACCTGACCATGATAAAACACACGATGAAAGAACTGACTGGCTAATGTGACACAAAATTCCCTTACCTCCCAGAGAATTTAATGACTCACTATTTATTCACTTATTTATTTTTTGAGGTGTGCTCTCGTTCTGTAACCCAAGATAGACTGGCACCAGAGATCCTTGTGCCTTGGATGCTGGGTGGTTGGATTATAGGATGTCCTACCATGTGTAGCTTCAAGTGACCATCTTCATTTTCAATCTTGTTCTAAAATATAGGATAATATTTGAGGAAGGAAACGATTTCTGCTCGTTCTGCTTCATCACAGTGTGTGCTTTCCCTTTCCACTTAAACTTTCTCCTTCTGGCTGGAGAGATGGCTGGAGAGAGGTTACTAACACTGCCTGTTCTTCCACAGGACCTGGGTTCAATTCCCAGCACCAGCATGGTAGCGTTTAACCATTCATAACTCCACTTCCAGGGTGTTCAGCACCCTCTTCTGACCTCCAGTGGCACCAGACAGACATAGTACACAGATGTACATGCAAGCAAAACATCCATACAACATAAATAAATGTAAAAAAAATCTCTTCTAGAATACTTTCATTGGTTTCTAGGTATTCCATTGTTTCATCTTGCAGAGCATTTACAAAGTACCAGTGAGAACAGTTATTGGCTGATGAGATTTGAAATTAGTAAAGGAATTAAAATACAATGCAGAGTTCAACAGAACAACGGACTTCTTCATAGGAAAAAGCTCTTTCTAGAGTCAAGACAGGCTGATAGGGTTAGAGATTTTGTTAGGCTAGTGCTAACAGGGTTGGTGATGAAAATCTGTTTTCTTCCCTTAAAATGTTAGTGACCATTGCTTTTCTTGTTGCTACGGCAGAACAGGTGACAAAAGCATGTTAAAGAAGGAAGGTTTAGTCTACGCTCATGGTTTAATGGGGTAAAGTATATAATAGCAGGGGGGGAGGCATGGCATCGATTGTGTGGGGCATCTGTCACATGGAATCACAGTCAGGAAGCAGAAAGAGATGATCACCACGCCATGCTTTTGGGGTTTTCTTTTCTCTTCTTCAGGCTTGGACCCCAGTCCCTAGGCTCAGTCTTCCCTCTTCATTCAGTTGACGCTCACAGACACAACCAGAGTATGTCTCCTTGGTGACTAACACATTGTAAGTCTACTTCTGTCAACTTGATGCCCAAACACATTCATTTTGCTAACATTCTGCTCCTGGCCCTCTAAGGTTCATGTTTATCTCATAATGGAAAAATGTATTTCGTCTTCATCAAGAGTTTCCAAAGTCTTTCTTTTTTTTTTTTTTTTTTTTGGTTTTTACGAGACAGGGTTTCTCTGTATTGTTTTGGAGGCTCTCGTCCAGCCCAGCCTCGAACTCACAGAGATCCGCCTGCCTCTGCCTCCCAAGTGCTACGATTAAAGGCGTGCGCCACCACCGCCCAAAGTCTTAACGGTCCTAACGTTGTGAGACTTGGGGAAATCTTTTAACTCTGAGCTCCTGAAAGATTAAAAACAAAGTATGTCACCTACCTCCAGTACACCAAGTTATAGAATAAGCATTTCCATTCTAAAAGGAAACAATGGGGACATAGTAAGGAAACATTGTACCAAAGCAAGACTGACACACTCAGCGGTTCCATGTCTAGCATCTGGGGCTTGTGGTGGCATCATCTGGGATTCAGCATGCTTGGGAAGCTCTGCCTCTTGTGGTCTGCTACCTGTAGCATATGTAGCCTCTCCCTTGACCCAGGTCAACTCTTCTTTTCTCTTTCCTCTGTGGATGCTCCCCTCCCCCAAGTTCTGTCACCTCAGCCAGTCTGCTGTCACCACTACAACTTAGATTTTCTTTCACAGAGTCACACAATGGCCTCTCGAAGGCCCTTTGCAAGGAGTCCAGTGATGCACCGTATTTCTGGTTCTCAATGACTTCCTGGAACCTTGGTCTAAGCTTCCATGATCTCATTAACTCTTGTATTATTCACGCTTGCAAAAGCGGCACCATGCAGATGATGTTTCTAAGGTCTACTGTCAGCTCAGGATACAGCTGACTCTTACCCCTTTACCACAGATGTTAGAGGGCTCTGTGTACCCTGGTGGCTGAACCTGGGGCCACTTCTCTAGGTTTTTGAATAGGGAACCTCTTCATTGGTACTCTCATACTCTCAATTCATCTCTCTGCTTTCAAAGGAATTGCAGTTTAGCAATTGGAGTTTTCCGTGGGTTGGGTCCTATTACCCCAGTAAAGAGGCCTGTTTCTCTTCAATGACAATAATCTCTTTAATCTATCTGCATCTACATTGTCTACATCTTTAAACTCTGTTATGCTTCATTCCTGGTCAAATAGCCATAGTGAACACTAACCACACCACAGTTTGGATATTATGTTGTCTTGAAATTTCCTCTGCCAAACAACTTAGTCTAGTACTTTTGATTTCAGCCTCACTGAATTTCAGAACAGAGAGTAGACATAATCTTTGCCACATTATAGTATGAGTAGCCTCTATCTCAGTTCCTGATAGAATCCGGTTCCATTTTGAAAGCGCTTGTACTGGGCTGCCACTGTCCACCTTTCCCGAAGCATTCTAGTCCTCTAAACTCCTGCCAGAATGGCCCATTAGCCTCTGTTTATAGATCTAGGGTGTCTCTAGCCTGTAACTCCAAACTGTTTGACGTCCATCTGCAAGCTGGATCTGAAGCTTATAAACACTGAGGTCAGATCAGTGACAGCAATGACCTTACCTCCTTGGCACCGATTTTCTGTGTTAGTTCACTTTCTTATTACAGGATGGCACATAGTGGCAGCAATATGAATTGGCTGATCATATTGGGTCCATAGTCAGCTTTCAAAATGGAACAGCACTCTATTGGAAACCAAAACACAGGTCACTCATACTATAATTTGGAAAAAAAATGACTACCTTCTGTGTCCTTAAATTCTCTCACAAAGAGATGAAAGCTGGTGCTTAGCTCCTTCCTTCCTTCCTCTCTCCCTCCCTCCCTCCCTCCCTTCCTTCCTTCCTCTTTCATTCTGGGACTGTAGTCAATGGGATTGATAGAATCACCGGCATTTAGCTTGGGTCTTCCTTCCTCAGTAAAATATCTTTGGAGACACCCTCACAGTACACCCAGAGGCACATCTCTTGGAGATTTTGAATGCAGTTAAATTGACAATGAAGACTAATCCTAACAAGAATGTAGCCCTGATGTGATATCACTGTGGCAACAGTGTTACCCTCCACTAGCTTGGCATCCTTAGCAAAAATGATACTATGTAAAGGTAAATCCATCCGGAGATGTGAAGTCAAACCTGCTCTGCCTGCCCATCAAACCTGCTCTGCCTGCCGTACGAGCAACTCCGAGGTATCAGGAAAAGAAAGACCAAATGTCCAGCTGTTTGTACTAAGAAGTGTCTTTATTTTGCAAGTGCTAAGAGGTCTCTCTCTTGTAGGAGGGAGCAGTCTTATATATAGTCTTACAACACAGTAGAAAAACCCCAGGTGGAAGAGAGCGTGTTTTCCTCGTGCTAGATGTTGATGTCAGTGGGTCAGTGTGGGGGCAGTAGCCAGGACTAGAAAGCAGGATGCACCTGTAGTTATCAGCTGACAAACAACTCAGAGACCCCAACAAAACCCTGCTGCTAGTGGGAAGGAAAATGCTTCAGTCATTTGATAAAATAATCTGACAGTTCTCAAACCATTAAACATAGATCTGTCGCATGACCCAGCAGTTCCACACCTAAATCTGTCCTATAGAAATATGAAAGTTTATACATGAGTGTAATTTCAAAATAATAGACCAAAACAGTCCAACTGCCTGTCTGTCAATGAACAAAAGAACATGCAAAGTGTAGTATATACACACAATAAAAATCTATTTGGCCACAAAGTACCATTGTATTGATACACATTACAACTTAGAAGAAATCTGAAAGTGTTCTGTGTTAAAATAAAAAGTTGATCATACCCTCTGAATGTTGGTGACAGTTATATGACTTGATCTATTCGGGGTAGGGGACTGGAAGTGGCACCATGACCTATGCCAGGGGCATGAACTGGCCATTTTGGCTCCCACTCCCCATGATGGGATACCTTGCTCAGCTTTGATAGAGGGGGGTTGGTCCTGCCTCCACCTTGTATACCAGACTTTGTTGACTCCCCATGGGAAGCCTAACCTCCTCTGAAGAGTGGATGGGGAGGTGGGAATGGTGGGAACCAGGGGTGGGCAGGAGAAGAGGAGGGAGGGGAACAGGTTGGTATGTAAAATGAAAAGAATTTTAAATATAAAAAGATATTAAGGAAAGACAAAAAAGTCAGTTATAATATGCCACAGATTATGCTATAAGTACATTATAAAAAGATAGTAAGGAAAGACAAAAAAGAAGTCAGTTATAATATGCCACAGGTTATGCTATAAGTCCATTTAGAGTTTAGGATAGGGACACTTCTACAGAGACTAAAGTTTATTAGTGATCATTTAGGGTGGATAGGAAGGGAAGCCAAAGCATATGGGCTTTTCTTTTTTTCTGAATGATAAATTTCCTCACATTAAGTGACAATTATTTCACATATCTGTAAATTTGTGAATATACTGAAAATTGGTATTTGTGAATTATATTTCATTAAAGGTGTATAAAATGTAACAAGATTGTGTTTGTAGTTTTATTCTCTCTCTCTCTCTCTCTCTCTCTCTCTCTCTCTCTCTCTCACACACACACACACAGGACAACCAATATCTCAGAAAGAGTTTTAGACTAACAACAACCATACAATCTCACTGCATAATTAGCCCTAGTTATTGAAGAAATGAACAAACAGTCCTAAGACGTTCGATGGCATTGCCTCTTCATAGACTCATATGTTTTCGATTATAGTCTGATGAACTGGGGAGGATTAGGAGGTGTGGCCTTGTTGGAGGTGGTGTGTCACTAGGGGTGGGCTTTGGGGTTTACACCTGAAACTGTAGGCAAGACCCCAATTAAATGCTTCCCTTTATAAGAGTAACCTTGATCATGGAGTCTCTTCACAGCAATAAACCAGCAACCGAGACAAGTCCTTTTGAATAATGAACATGCTCATGTAATGACACATTTATGGTATCAGGCTCAGTAGCAACAGGGACTACTACAAGATGCTTTTGTGTGCGGAGGTAAAACAAGTAGCCATGTTCCCTCTCTGATCCTTACAAAGAGAAACAAACAAAGGATTCCGGCACCAAGATTCCAATTTTTACTTAATTCTCTTAGAGACACTGGCATATGAGGCATTTTGAATAAGTGGTTTGTTTATAAGAATAGTATATATATATATATATATATATATATATATATATATATATATATATACAGGTTGGGGAGATATGCCAGTTGGTAAAGTAGTTACCATGTATGCCTGAGGACTGAAATTTGCTCCCCAGAGTTCAAGTGAAAAAGCCAGGTGTAGAGGCTTGTGAGGTAACCCAATGCTAGGGAAGTGGCGGGCAGGTGGGTGTCCAGGACGTGTGGACCTACCCTAATTAGTGACACCCTGTCTCAAAAAACAAGGCACCACATGATCAATGACACCTGAAATTGACCACTGGCCTCTACATGTATGGATATACATGTGTGCATGCCCTTCCCTCCTCTGTATATAACTCATTTCTACAGAAAAGTCAGGTTTTCAGGAGGGAAGTTTAATGATATCTTTTTTTCTTTTAGTCTTTTTTTTTTTACAGTTTCACATATCGATAGCACATCCTAATTACTATCTCCCTCACCGTTCTTATTTCCCTCTCATTCACACCACCTCCCAACAAGTCCCATCTCACATCCATGTGTCAACTTCAACATAGTGGGACCTTAAGAGTGATCTCTCATATATATCAACATACATAGTATCTGTATTACTAATTTATATTATCTGTTTCAAGGAATTATTGTTATATATTTTTAATATTTTAAAATTTCCTCACCCTCAAGCCATTTTGAAAAATGTATTTTCTTGTGGAAAATGAACAGGATATGCCCCCCCAAATATTTGTAGTTCCATGTGTCCAAGACCCAAATTACTAATAAATCAATTGGTTGATTAAAATTAAGCAAGCTATAAGGATGAAGCTTGGAAATGGTATTTTAAAAATATTACTAAAACCTTTTGCTGATTCTTACTGGCATACCAAATTGAAATAAAGGTTAAGCTAAGGTTTATTAGAAAAATCACTCAGCCCCCTTCCCAACTATATTTTACTTTTGAAAACACTGTATACTCAATAATGTGATTACTCACATCTTGGTCAATTTTGGTTTAATTTCTGTGGTAACTTGAGCTGTGCATGTAGCAGAACAATGCTTCTGTTATGCTCCCTGAAGAGCTGCTGAGAGCTTTAAGCAAATTTCTGTGTGCATATCAAAATAGAGCACATGTTTAATTAGCATTAACTTTCATTAATTAAAATTAACTTGCTTTCACTTCAAAATCGAGACTACAATGAGGAGAAGAGGCTTATTTACGAGGAGAGAAAGGTAATTATTTTCATTGCTGCGCCCACTTAGGTTTCTGCACAAGTAATGTGGCTCTACCTTTCCACCCTACTTACCACTTGTTAGAATTTCTGCAAAGAAAATAAGTAATGGAGGTGTCATCAGAATAGGACTTAATCTTCACTGCAGGTGGAGACTTTCATTTGTCATGTGTGATGGGGCACAGTTCTGCTTCAAGCTGAGCTGAGTGAGTCCAGTGTTCACAGTTGTATCTTAGCTTGGTAGGCAGAAGGCTGACAACCCCTCTAGGGACCACACTTTACTAAAAACAAAACAAAAATAAAAACCAAGCAGCCCTTGACAGAAAGAATAGGATGGGCCTCTTTGGGTCTTGGGGATCTCGTTCACTTTATGCTTGTGTTTACAGGAACAACTCATGTCGCCCAGCTACAGTATGGTTTGAATATTTGATTTAATCAGGAACTTGAAGCTGCCTTGGAACTGGTGTCCCTATTTCCTAATTCCTAATCTAATAAGCCTTCTCATCTACTTTTAACTCAGTTACAAACTTGCTTTGGGAGAGACTGTTAATTATTTCCCCAATATTTATCCACTCCTTTATCTACATTAGTATGTTTTGGCAAACACACAATTTCCTAGTTAAAAACCATTTTTAGATTCTCTTCAACAAGGTATGTCCATGTTACCTCACTTAGCTAGTAGACTATGATCACACACACACACACACACACAGAGAGAGAGAGAGAGAGAGAGAGAGAGAGAGAGAGAGAGAGAGAGAGAGAGAGAGAGAGAGAGAGAGAGAGACCACACTCTTGGATCATGCCATTGCAAGAAACTCATGAATCTTTTTTCCCATTCCTACTGGCTGCATCAACTTTGGGCATACAAGTGAGAACAAGACTGGACAAGAAGGAATCTGGTACTGCTTTGGACCTCTTGCCTGGACTACTTTATGGAGAAGACGGTTATGGTTGCGCTCTTAATTGTTCCTTGAAGGCCTTGTGTTGGGAAGTGATGGAACCTTTTGAGGGTTGGACCTAGTGAAAGGAAGCTGGGTCAATGGAGGTGTCCTTGAGAAGGATGCTGACTGTTTTTCTTGTCTTTGTTTCTCAGTCACCATAAACTGAAGGAATTTGCTCCACCACTTACTTTCCCCCATGATGATCTGCTTCTCCAAAGGACCCAAAGTAACAGAGACAAATAAACCTGGGCTGAAATGATGAAACAAGAAATCTTTCATCCTTATAAACTCTTAATCCTAGATATTTTTGTCACAGTTACACAGTGCTAACACACAGGTCTGATGTTTAAGCCACGCTACTATTTAAATACAAATGCGGCGCAGACTTTACACTCGTGGGTCTTCACTTGGATGAGCTGATTGCTGCCTGAGTGCCTTTGAAGGAATGCTACAGACATCATCAATTCTCTGCTACTCTTCATTAGTACCTTGCCCTTTGGTAAGCCCACAGTCCCAGCTCCACATCTACTTAGGAAGATGCTGCCTCTGCCTGGGCCTTTCTCTGATCATGGCTTGGAAACTTTCTTCAGGTAGTAAGTTAAGTAACCACTCCCCCACCTCGTGCTCACCTCATTCATTTCTGAGGGACCCAAATCATGCCTCTTTTTTCATTGTTACTTAATGCATATATGTGTATGTGTATAGTGTCAAATAAAGCTGGAGTTTTAAAACATATTGCCAGAATTGAAGACATCACTGTGTGGTCATTTTATTGTTCATCAATGGCTTATCTACCCTTAGACTTAGGTAGCTTTGTTATTTTGGCAAGTCTGTAAACCTCAAAATTATTTTGAATTCCTTTCTAGTAATTCCGGTCTTCAATTGGTTATTGTATTAATTACTTGTTTTGCTGCTGCAACAAACTATGTAATAATAGCAGTGTAAGGAAGGATGGTTTATTTTGTTTCATAGTTTAAAGATTAATCAATTAGTCAAGGAAGGCATGGAGATGGGAGTTTGAAGCAACTGGTCACATTGCATTCACCACTTTACCCCTTGTCAACTTGACACTGAAACACTTTGCTTTTAAACCATACCTGTTTAGCCCCTATTCACATAGGGTCACAGCTAACTCATAATTCAAACTATGTCTAACATCAAAAATCCCCATAGTAAATAACTGCAACACTATTTAAAAGCCTGAAGAACAAGTTTTAGCTGAGACTCCAAAGAGTACCTATAAATCAATAACATTATGTACTTCTAGTATGCAATGATACACAATAAACATTACCATTCCAAAAGAGAAGAACGAGACCATAACAAATGATTCGACCAAAGCAAGACCGAAACAGCAGGGCAAACACCACATACTGTAACTCTGTGTGTAGCATTTGGGGCTCCTGATGGAATCTTCTGGACTCCCAAGGGCTTAGGCAGTTCTCCTGCCTGTAGCAAGCCTTGCCTAGGTTCCACTTAATGCAGACAGCTTTCCTCTGCAGACATTCCCTAACATACCCAGGTCTCTGCCTTTAGATCTCACCTGTATAACTTCACTTATTGGCATTTCATGGTCTTTGTATAGGGATTAAGAACTTGATACACATTTTCTGGCCTCATCAGCTCTCTGGAACCAAGATGCAAAACTCCATCCCTTCAGTCTTTTATTGTTTAAGTCTGCAAAATTAATACTACATGAACAACACGGCTAAGTCCTCCTGCCATCTTCAAACCTTTGTATATTGACTCCAGGAAACACTTCCCTCATTGATTGTTTTCAAAAATTTGCAGTGTCTTCATAGGTAAATTCAGATTAAGTTCTCTTCTTTCAAGTGAATTTATAATTTCACAAACTGGAGGCTTTGGTGGGTGGGGTCTTGTCATCAATGCACCTTTCGTATTGTCCCAGTGCAGAGTAAGTCTCCTTGGCTGCAACTGTTGCCAGAGCTCTTTCCTGGGACACACACACACACACACACACACACACACACACACACACACACACACACACACACCCCACACACACGTTTTTCTGTCCCACTTGTTAGACTTTGCTAAGCAATGACCAAGCCACAGCCTCAGTGCTGCTCTCTCTTGAGATTTTTCTCTCCTAAACAAATTATCCCGTTGCTCCTGTATTCAGTCTCACCCAAGTTCTCAGAATAAAGTCAGAGTGCTGCCAGGTTCTTTGCTGGAACATCTCATAAATGACTTCTAGCTCCATCCATCATAGAGTCCTTGTTTCTCTGAATCAGTGTGAGGCTGGATTTGACTGCCCATGTTTCTCCCAGATTTTTTGGTTTTCTACATTTTCAATAGGATGGCCCATTAAGTTCTGCTCACAGTGTTCTCAGGGGCTTTGAACCCCAAGTCCCAAACTTTTCCACATTTCTCCTGTGAACCAGTTCCAAAGGCCTAAGAATAACATGGCCACGCTTATCAGAGCAACAGCTTCACTCTCAGTGCTGATTTTCTGCATTATTTGTCTCATTACTGGAACAAAATGCTTGGCAGTAGCCACTTAATGGATGAGCAGTTGACTTTGTTTCATAGTGTAAGAGAGCAGTCTATCATGGCAAGGAATTCACACGAGAAGCATCTTGAGGAAGCTGATCACATTCCACCCACAGCTAGGAAGAAGAAAGCAATGAATGCCTATACTCAGTTTGCTTTCTCCATGTTATTCGGTCTGAGAACCCAGCCCATGGGATGGTGTTGCTCGAAATTAAGTTGGGTTTCCACACTTGAGCCTGAGCAATCACTCATCTGTATATTCAGAAGTTTGTTCTCATGGTTTGTGTGAATCTCATTATGCCAACCATCAAGTTTAACCAGGACAGTTGTGAATTACTGGTTCAGGAGCTAGGGACTTAGCTCAGCCAGGAGAGCCCCTGGGCAGCATGCATAGGGCCCTGGTTCAATCCACAGTATTGTAGTAACAGGACATGGTGGCACATGCCTGTAATCACAGCACTGGAGAAGTGCAGGCAGGTTAAGAATTGAACATAAAACAAACAAACAACAACAACAAAAAAAAGACAAAAACCAGGCATTGGCGCACGCCTTTAGTCCTAGCACTCAGGAGGCAGAAGCAGTCAGATCTCTGTGAGTTCAAGGCCAGCCTGGTCTACAGAGTGAGTGAGTTCCAGGACAGGCTCCAAAGCAATGCAGAGAAACCCTGTCTCAAAAAAAAAAAAAAAAAAAAGAAAAGAAAAAAAAACGACACACACACACACAAATGAATTTGAGGTCATCTTTGATTGCACGAAGAGTTTAAGGATACCCTGGGCTATGTGATTCTGTCTCAAAACAAAACAAACCTAAAAGTTTTTTCTCATTACGAGCTTATGACTCACTATAAGAAATAATAAGTCTCATCATGCTGTTCAGCTCTTCTGTCCATTTTTCCCCCACTTTCCTTGCCTCTCCCTCTTGACTTAGGTAGAATTTAAAATTTAAAATTTTCTTCTGTAGAGTTCACAAACTTCTTTCCTCCTGAGATTATGTATTTTGATTAACATAAACTGGTTAGGATGTGACTAAGTATTATAAGTGTTTATTTTTTGTAGCTACTTTCGGCTAGGACTGAGTGTGCCTGTGGTGACTCATGATGGGATGGCGGTAGGAGTATGTGAAATAATAGAAGACAGAGGCCATGTCTTCAATTTATTTTAAAAATGAAGTTAATCACACACTTTTTGAATGACTTCAGTTCCAATTTTAAAGTTCTCCAAAGCTTACATAAAAATCAACAGCCTAATTAAGACATCAAAACCTTTATCCGTTCCCTTCGTTGACTTTGCACCTTGCAACACTGACTTCTCCTAGTCTCCTGGTGTTCACCATCCCCTGCAGTCACCTCAGTTCTGCTCTCACTCACTCCAAACAATTGCCATCTCTAATTGCTATGGCCAGCCTCCAGAACCGCCTTACCCATCTTTCAACCCTGTGTCTTTGCAACTTTTCATGTTTCTCCCAGATACTTACTGGAGTTCTTGGAATGCTTACCAAAGCTATTGTAGATGAAAACTTTTTAAATTAGAAAACAGGAACCAAGAGATGCTGATCGGACTTTGCTCCAATACTTTGAAGATTTTCTTTTTTTTTTTTAAACCCTATGTATCATGTAAGAGGTTTTTTTTATATATATTTTATTTTCCAGTTTAAATTTAGATAAGAAACGAGGTTGCTTCACAAGTCAGTTCCAGGTCCCTCTCCCATTCCCTCCCCTCTTCCCGTGTCCTCCCCCTAAACCCCCCCCCCGTTATCCCCTCATTCCCCGAGGGAGGGTGAGGCCCTCCATGGGGGTGTCCATAGTATGTCATTTCATATAGGGCAGGGCCTAGACCCTTCCCCAAGAGTTCAGGGTGAGAGTGCACCTCACATTGTTCTATGGGAGTCCAAAGTCCGTGTGTATACTTGGGATGGGTACTGATCTGCTGCCCAAGGCTCAATAGATTCCCTAGGCCTCCTCACTGACACCCAGATTCAGGGGGTCTTGATCAGTCCCATGCTGGATTCCCAGGCTGATGCCTGGGATTCAAGAGTTAACCTTTGTCTGGCCAGCTGTTTCTGGGGGTTAAACCCAGTCTTAATCCCTTTGATCATCAGTCCTCCCTCTCTGTTACTGGCTTTCTTGAGTTCAGCTCAGTACTTAACCAAGGGAGTCTGCCTGTTCTTTGATCAGCCACTAAATGAAGTTTCTGTTTCCCAGACTCTCTGGCCATAGGATTGTAGGCTGGCACTCCCCAGATCTATGTCTAAAATCCATATATGAGAGAGTACATGCCATGTTTCTCTTTTTGTGACTGGGTTACCTCACTCAGGATGGTTTCTTCTAGTGTCATCCATTTGCCTGCGAATCTCATGATTCCGTTATTTTTCTCTGCTGAATAGTACTCCATTGTGTAGATGTGCCACATTTTCTCTATCCACTCTTCGGGTGAGGGACATCTAGGTTGCTTCCAAGTTCTGGCTATTACGAATAAAGCTGCTATGAACATAGTGGAACAGACATCTTTGTTGTATGAATGGGCATCTTTTGGATATATGCCTAAGAGTGGAGTTGCTGGGTCTTGTGGTAGGTTTATTCCCATTTTTCTGAGGAATCTCCATACTGATTTCCAAAGTGGCTGAACCAGTTGGCACTCCCACCAGCAATGGAGGAGTGTTCCCCTTTCACCACATCCTCTCCAGCATAAATTGTCATTAGTGTTTTTGATTTTAGCCATTCTGACAGGAGTGAGATGGAATCTCAGAGTTGTTGTGATTTGCATTTCCCGGATGGCTAAGGATGTTGAACACTTTCTCAAGTGCCTCTCAGCCATTTTAGACTCCTCTATTGAAAACTCTCTATTTAGTTCTGCAGCCCACTTCTTAATTGGGTCCTTTGCTGTTTTGGAGACTTGCTTCTTGAGTTCTTTGTAAATTTTGGAGATCAACCCTCTGTCAGATGTGGGATTAGTGAATATTTTTTCCCATTCTGTGGGCTGCCTTTTTGTCTTGCTGACTGTGTCCTTTGCCTTACAGAAGCTTCTCAGTTTCAGTAGGTCCCATTTATTAATTGTTGATCTCACTGTCTGTGCTACTGGTGTTATGTTCAGGAAGCTGTCTCCTGTACCAATTCGTTCAAGGGTACCACCCACTTTCTCTTCTAAGAGGTTCAGTGTGGCTGGATTTATGCTGAGGTCTTTGATCCATTTGGACTTAAGTTTTGTGCATGGCGATAAACATGG